ATATGTCATTTATGAATATATTCTCCCATACTGTAGGATGCCTTTTTTCTGCTGATGGTGTCCTTTGCTGTACAGAAGCTTTTGATATAGTCCCACTTGTTCATTTTTGCTTTTGTTTCCCTTGCCCAAGGAGATATGTTCATGAAAAAGCTGCTCATGTTTATATTCAAGAGAGTTTTGCCTATGTTTTTTCCTAAGAGTTTTATGGTTTCATGACTTATATTCAGGTCTTTGATCCATTTCAAGTTTACTTTTGTATTTGGAGTTAGTAATCCAGTTTCATTTTCTTACATGTAGCTGTCCAGTTTTGCCAAAACCATTTGTTGAAGAGGTTGTCATTTCTCCATTGTATGTCCAATACTCCTTTACCATATATTTATTAATTGACCATATATGCTTGGGTTTATATCTGGGCTCTCTAGTTTGTTCCATTGGTCTATTGTTCTGTTCTTGTGCCAATACCAAATTCTCTTGGTTACTGTGGCTTTGTAGTAGAGCTTGAAGTTGGGGAACATAATCTTCCCCACTTTATTCTTCCTTCTAAGGATTGTTTTGGCTATTCAGGGTCTTTTGTGGTTTCATAAGAATTTTAGAACTATTTGTTCTAGTTCGTTGAAGAATGCTGTTGGTATTTTACTAGGGATTGCATTGAATCTGCAAATTGCTTTAGGCAGGATGGCCATTTTGACAATATTAATTCTTCCTACCCAAAAGCATGGGATATATTTCCATTTATTAGTGTCCTCTTTAATTTCTCTCAGGAGTGTCTTGTAGTTTTCAGGGTATATATAGGTTTTTCACCTCCTTCGTTAGGTTTATTCCTAGGTATTTTATTCATTTTGGTGCAATTGTGAATGGAATTGTTTTCCTGGAACTTGACCTTTTTGAGAGGCTCAGAAGGCATGTTTCTCTCCAGCCCTTTTTCATCTCCTCTACATTTTAACAATGTTTACTATACCTTTCTCAGAGTTTCTTTATGCACATACAAGCTTTCAAATATATAATTGCCCCCATTTTACACAAAAGTTAACATACTATGCGTAAGCACCTTGCTGTTCTCACTTTAACAACTTATCTATGTGTTACTGACCTTGAGTCAAACAACAGTACACCTGAGGTAGAATAAACAAATAAGTAAAAGTTTATTTCTTCAGCCATGACCATTCAATGGGGAATGAACAGTCCTTTTAACAAATGATACTCAGACAACAGCATACCCACATACAAAAGATGCTGTACCCTTTGCTTAAAGCATACCCAAAAATAACTCAAAATGGATCACTGGCCTAAATATAAGAGATAAAAATTATGATACTCTTAGAAGAAAACAAAGGACTAAATCTTTGTGACCCTGGAATAGGCAATGCCTTCAAAGATATGACACCCAAAGCACAAGCTGAGAAAAAGTATACATAAATTGGACTTTATCAAAATTAAAAATTTTCATGCTTCAAAGACACAATCAAGAAAATAAAAAGACAACCCACAGTATGAAAGAAAGTATTTGCAAATCATGTATCTGATAAGAGACTTATATCCAGAATATATAAAGAATTCTTACAATTCAATGAAAGGAAAAATAGCCCAATTTAAAAAATGGGTAAAGGATCTGAATATATATTTCTCCAAAGAAGACATAAAAATAACCATCAAGCACGTGAAGGATGCTCAATATCATTAATCATCAAGACAATGTAAATCAAAAACACAAAGAGGTACCACCTCATACCCACTAGGGTGGTTTTAACCCAACAGACACACAATTAACAAGTGTTGGGAAGGATATGGAGAAATCAAAACCTTTACACACTACTGGCAGGAACATAAAATATGCTCTAGACAGTTTGGCCATTCCTCAAAATGTTAAACTTAGTTACCACATGACCTAGCACTTACACTCATAGGTATATATCCAATACAAATGAGAACATCTATATAGAAACTTGTACTTGAACGCTCATAGTAGCATTATTCATAATGTCCAAAAATTGGTAACAACACAAATGTCTACCAACAAAGAAATGGATAAACAAAAGGCAGTCTATCCATTCATTCTAATGGAATATTATTCATCTTAATGGAAGATTATTCAGCCATAAAAAGGAATGAAGTGATTCCTCGAAATATTAAACAGAATTATCACATGATCTAGCAATCCCACTTCTGAGTACAGGCCCAAAAGAAATAAAAGCAGGGACTCAGATATATTTGTAAACAGTACTCAGGTTCACAGCAGCACTATTCACAATAGCCCAAAAGTGGAGGAAATCCACTGATGTGTAAATGAATAAATAAAATGTGGCAAGTACAAGCAATGGAATTATTATGCAGCCTTGAAGAGGAAGGAAATTCTGACACATGCTACAGATGGATGAATCTTGAGGACATTATACTAAGTGAAATATGACAGAAACAAATGGTTGCCAGGTGTGGTGAAGGTGGCAGGCAAGGGAAAAATAGAGAATTAGTGCTTAATGGGTACAAAGTTTCAGCTAGCAAAGATGAGAAAGTTCTGGAGATGGATGTTGGTGATGGTTGCACAACAAAGTGAATATACTTAATGCCATGGAACTGTACATTTTAAATTGGTTAGAATGGTAAATTTTATACTACATGTATTTTACTTCAATCAATCAACAAGACTACGTTCTTACCAAAGGGGGTCCTCCCAAAAAAATGGTCCCCTGCTTGCGAACAATGATGTTTTCATCAGCCATCGCAGGCACATAAGCCCCTCCTGCCGTACAGAAGCCCATCACAACTGCTATCTGCAATCCAAGCATACAAGAAACTCATTGGTACAGCTCAAACAGTAAATTACACAGTCTCTGGATCTATACAGTAGTTCCAGAAATGCTGCAATACCAGGGGATATTACTATTTGGTCTGTATTTCATTAAATAATGGAGTCCTCTCAATATTTGGAATAGTTTTCTAACTTACTGTATCAAAGCACTCTGAAGGACTTATGTCACACTTGTATAAAGTTTATGGACAATCTCCCTGTCACAGATAAGACTGGCCAGATATATCAACCATTAGCCCGAGCAACCAATGGCGAGAAGAAACATCTATTAATTAGCAAAACTGTATCAGAAGGATGACTTCTAAATCGAGTAGTAAGTCATCCAAACAACTGCCACTTACCCCATAGGAATACTGAAATAGTTCTCCAGATGAGTTTTGTTAATACTTTGTGTTATTCTAAATATGATATAATCCTAAATATAAAACTGTAAGCACTACAGTTGAAAATCTTGCCCAAAAGAAAGTCAACTTTGCTGAAGCTGGTAATGCACACAAGAAGGTTCACAGTACCATTTTCTCTACTTTTGTGTGTTTGAAATTTTCCATAATAAAAGCTTAAAAAAATATTCTTGCTTAGAAATGAGCATGACACAAATATGGGTTTGGCTGATTATCCTACAATAGGAATAAACAGTATCACAAAGAAAAATAACAGAAGTATGAAATGGATATTTTCTTAAACCACCATATGAAAGTGTTTTTAATAGTAATTCCAACAGTCCATCAATTTTGCTTACAGTTACATAAATAAATACCTCACTAGTATTGATCCAAAAATGAAAGGCAGCATGAGTTAACATTTTTCCATCTAAATGGCTGTCACAAAAAGCATTTTTCCCTAACTATTCCATGTATGTTATAAAAATTGGCTACATACAATAGCCAAGATATAAAAACAACCAGTACCCATCAACAGATGAAGATGTGATACATATATACAATGGACTATTACTCAGCCATAAAAAAGAAATCCTGCCATTTGCAACAACATGGATGGACCTAGAGGTATTCTGCTCAGTGAAATAAGTCAGGTATAGAAAGACAAATACTATATGATTTCACCTATTTGTGGAATCTAAAAATAAAACAAAAAAAAAGAACAAAACAGCAGTAGATTCATAGACACTGAGAAGTGACTGATGGTTACCATGAGGAAGGGGTTGGGGTGAGTGTGAAGGGAAGGTTAGGGGGATAAAGGGGCATCAATATTCTCAATCACAATATAAATTGGTTGCAGGGATGGTAGTACAGCATGGAGAATATAGTCAATGATTCCATAACATCTTCCTATGTTGAGAGATAATAACTACACTAGAGGGGGTGAGAATTTAATATGGCTAACTGTTGAATCACTGTGTTGTATTCTTGAAACCAATATAAGATTGTATATCAATGATACTTCAATAAAATAAATAAGAAAGCATATGTGCAAAAAAAGTGGCTGCAACAGTCTCTGTCAACATATTAAAGAAATGTTTATCACTTATTGTTTTTGCTTATCAACCACCCAGAAGTCTGTTTTCAAAGTATCAATGGCTAGAAAAACTCTTGCCCATGGAAAAAAGGAAACATTCATCAAAGCAAGTGTTCACAATAGTGAAAATATGCAAACCACCACCATGTCCATCAATACAATATTCTGAGTGGAAAAATGAATTGTGGATTAGTAAATTCTTTAAAATTATGAGGCAAAAAATAATACAGGAAATGTTAACATTTCATAAACCTGAGTGGAGGGTATGTGAGTGTTCCATTCTATTATTCCCTGTACTTTCTGCATGTTTGAAATATTGTTCTTTAAGGTTCTGTAAGGAGCAAAAGACATGATTTCACCTTATCAGCCTGTTCTCTGACTAGAACAGCAAATTCAGATCAAACTATTTCAGAACCAAAAACGTCAAGGAAGTAAAGGAGAGTCACAATGATGTAAGAATCTAGAAAGGGACAACTTTCCCAAGTAAGACCTCAAGAACTAAACAGGCAAAGTAGGGTCCCATGAAAACAACTAGAAAGCAATAGTAACCATCAGCAAGTATTCAGAGACCATGGATGGGGGCAGAAGGAACAAAGAGATGAATTATTCTGTCAAAATGCAGTAAGACAAAAATGAGGGAAATGAAACTGAATGCCATCATGCCATCTCAGGGGGAGAAAAGATTTATCAATTTAGTAGAAAAGTCTCACAAGTGAATAGCTGACAAATTATTAGCACATCTACATCAAGGAATTTTTCATATTCCCAAGAGCACTTCAGATGTGTTTTCTCCACAGTATTTCTGGAACCAAGGAAATCAACAATCCACTTCTCTGACACCAGCTAGTAACAGCCCCAAGTATTTCCTGACTCTTGGATTCACATCCCTTTGCATGAGCGGTGGATCTGGTGACAAGCTTGCAATGAACAGAATTCTGCAAGAGTCACGTCCATGCTCAGGGTACTGGAGATGGTTGGTGTCTTCTATCTTGCTGGAGCCCGCTCTCTCTTGCTGGGCCTCTCTCTTGGCCACTTGCTTGCTTTGACCTGCTGTAAGATGCTCTATGGAGAGGCCCACGTGGGAAGGAACCGGGGAGGCTTTCAGCCAACAGCTCTGAAGGAACTGAGTGAGGTCTGCAGAGGACCGAACCCTGCCAACAACCATGAGTGCTGGAGCCTCCCTGGATGAGCCTTGGGATGGCTGCAGCCCTGGGAGAGACCCAGAGCCAGAGGATCCAGCTAAGCTGTGCTCAGAGTCCTGGCGCAAAGAAACTTCAAGATAACAAGTATTGTTTTAAACTGCTCACTTTGGGGGTAATTTGTTCTTCAGCAATAGATAACTAATACAGAGATCAAAAACCATTGTCCTTAAGTGACTGTAACTGAAGCACATCTGAAGACTTGGGACCATCTCTGTTAAGAAGTACTGCTGCTGTTCAATGTATCAGTAAACCATTTCTCTATTCCAGAGATGGGAGACAGACCATAAATAGAATTCTGTACCATCCCAGAGAGTGATGAAAAACCAAGAGAAAGGCATGGGTAAACCTTAAACCATTATGCTAAGTCTTTGAAAGAAACCAGTCACAAAAGACCACTTATTCTATTATTCCATTTATCTGAAATGTCCAGAATAGGCAAATCAAGAGATGGAAAGTAGATTAGTGGTTGCCAGGGGCTGGGGAGATTGGACAGAAAGGGGGAGTAACTGCTAATGGATATAGCATTTCCTTTTGGTATGATGAAAATGTTCTAAAATTGATTCAACTCTATGAATATCCTACAAACCACTGAATTGGATATATTAAATGAGTAAGTTGTATGGTATCTAAATTATATCTTAATAAACTTATTATAAAAATTTTTTTAAATAAAAGCTAGAGTTACTACATATGCCAGAATCAAAATTCTCAAGTTTTTCATCAATAAGAGAGGTTATTCTAGACACAAGTATCTAACAGGCACAAAACTTACTATTGCTAAAACAAAATTTGGTAATAGAAATAAAAATTAAATAAAAGAGCATAGACAAGTCACCACTGTCATACAATCTCCACTTCTTATCATTTAACTGCGCCAGTCACTCCCAAAACAGAGCAAACGCAAGCCCAGAAGAGCAACGACACTGTGTCTTCTCACAAAGTGCAGGAACCCCAGGGCCAAAACACAACCACCACCTTCCCAGGTCCCAAAGCAGTCAATTCATCTGCAGTGCAACAAAGATCCCACACTGGGCCATGGCAGACAAATGATCTGAAACCCCAGGAAGAAAATTAGGCTGCTCGGAGAGGACATTAAAAGGACTTGAGTAAGATGCATGACTACACACTGCTCTGACCCCACTCAGAGGATAGGTGTGGCTTGTACTGGAGGCACAACTCAGGCACCATGGTCAGGGGAGACACAAAAGTGTCCTCATCTGCACCAGAGCAAAGGACTGACTCCAAGAGGACCGAGAGGCGGAAACCCGACAGTTCCCAGGGAGGGGGACCTGCTCCCTGACGCACAACAACTAAGAGATCCCTCTTGCAGGCGAGGAGGCCCATGGTGGCTCAAAGGCTTGAATCCAAAGGAAGAAGGCAACAGGAAGGCTGAGGACAATGTGCAACTGACACTAACAACACCTGGCCTCACCGCCACAGGAGGCACAGGCACAGGCTCTGAGTAAAAGAAAACAAAATGAGACGCTACAAAACAGAGTAACAGTCTGGAAAAACTTCCAACGACGTTTCATTACCCTCTGGGTCTGGCCTGGACAAACAGAGACTGGTTCTCATTGCACCAAAGACAAATTACATATTGTAGGTCAGCAGCCTGCCCTACAGAAAGGGTCTCTGAAAGGGAGTCAAGAGGTTCTATACCTAATTCTGAAAAGCTGTGTGAACTCTAGACCTCCATCTGCCCACTGAAAAATCAGAGAAGACTATCCAGGTCAAAGGCACACTGTGACATAAATGTAATAACTTGACCCTCAACAACTTGGAAGGGAAGAGAAGTTTCAGTTGCTTGATGGCAAAGCCATTAAAAATACAATAGTGTGTTTTTTAAATCTCTCATCTTATTTTTCAATTCAAAGTAATTGTGGAAAGAAAATACTGCATAAAATTGCATTCTTTTCTTCCTCTACTCAAAGAGCCACCATTAAAAAATAAAAGCCACAAAAACACATACATATCAATTCAACAGCTGTCCAGAATTTAAAAATATTATCAACTACGCTGACTGATCATACTGCTTATTCTAGAATAGTCATGATTATCTGAAGGTTGAAATGTACACAGAAAACAAAAAGTCCTTCTTACCCAGAACATGCTGTTTCTTCATCAATCTTTTTATGAAAGAACTTCAAAGCAGAGTGATTTTGCCTCCTCCAGGCCTTATCTGACTTCTTGAACAGTTGAAATGCATTTAAACAATAATGTTATACAGTGTCTGTCCTTACTAAGCTCCTCAAAACACTTAACAAGGTCTGAAGCAAAGAAGATAAATTTCAAAAAGAACAAACAAAGCCAAGGCAGGGGTAACAGGGAGAAAATAAGGACAGAGGAAAGCAGGGACACTTAAGAATTACTTCAAGTACATCTCCAAAAAGAAGAACAAACAGGAAAAAAGAGCAAAGAAGTAAGTGAAAGGCCTAAAAAGTAGCAACTAATCATGGCCAGATGAATGATGCCTATTTCAGAGGAAACAAGCTGTTAGTAACAACAAAACACTTGGTGCTGGTGGGGTAAGGATTACAGTCAGACACGGGAGATCCATCATGAGGACACCAGAGCAGAGACCCACCTGGGTTAGGTTACCACTAGATTATAAAAATAAAAGTAATACAAGACCTAAAGAAAACAGATACAAAGATCCCACTTTGGAAGAGAATTATAAGTCTCACACTTAAAAAAGCCAGCCGTGTGGAAACTACAAAATCAGGAGAACAAAAGCAGCACATTCCCAAGGTCACCATGGCCTTGGGTGTGGGTTTGCAGAAGGCCCACAAGACATCCTGTTGTTTCTCCTTGAAAGCAAAAACAAAAATGTTGAAACCCGGAAGGTCTGTAGGAATCTGTCTACGTTTTTACAGGTGCAAACATACACGGAATAACAGACACATGATTGTCAAGATACATACATCTTCAAACTAAGTGGATGGGTTTACAATAAGCAAAGTTAGTAACATTAAATAAAAACCACCTTTGGGAGCAAAACAGAAGCTGAACAAGGAAACCCCTCGCTACCAAAATGCACACAGCATAACTGGAGTCACAAGTGATCGCTTTACACAATGAAGTATAAAAATTTGTTTTCATCAGTCTGTCTAAGTAAAAACTTAAATTTATACTTACATACATTAAAAATAGGAACTAGAACTACTCAGTATGTTAGATATCATTTTAATAATTATAAGGAGTTTCACTCAATAAATTTTAGTAGGTACCTTCTCAGCGAACTGTGTTAGGATCTAAACATCAGATCGGACATTACCTCTAATCTCAGGTAGCTCAGAGCCTAGTAAGGGAAGACAATCAGGATTTATTTAGAAAAAAGGGATAAATGCCATTTGTAAGGTAAAGCTCAAGACTTATGGGAGTTGATAGGAGGAAAAGATGACTTGTGATAAGAGGTTCTGGAAAGCTTTCCTGAAAAAGGTGGCATCTGAAACATGCCTTGGGAAACAGGCTGCAGAACTGGACCCCGAGGACCAGAGGAAACAGGGCCCAGCACAGACCTGAACAGTCACAAGTGGCTGTGGGCACGTGAGGAACAGTGAATGAGTAGCTCAGACTGACAGCCATGTATTTTGCAAGAACATTAACGCTAAAGTTAGGCTGGAACCTGGTCACACAGGACCTTAAGTACAGGCTAAGAAGTCTGAAGTTTGTTTTGTGGGAAATATGGTTTGGAGCTAGATTAAGGATAACCTAGCCCTGAAGTGTACAATGGGGTGAAAAGGAGAGACAAGGCAGTCAGGAGCAGCAGCTGGGTGAGGCCAGTGCCCCAGCATCATGGGTGTGAAGGCCTGCGCTACCTACACTGATGGCAGTAGGAATGGAGCGGAGAAGACCCCACCACAGGTAAAAATCGACAGGACTCCATTCCTCAAGGGTTTATTATGTTGATTACCTACCTAGCATCAGAAGGGTGCCTAGGGATACAAATAAGGAAGAAACACATTTTTTATTTAAAAGGATTAAGTGGGGGGAAAAGCAGAGAGGGATCAAGGATGATATCAAAGTTTCAATCCCAGGAGAAGAGCAAGATGGAAGTATCAGCAGCAGCAAACAGGCACACAGTGAAGGGATAAATTAGTAGGGGCTCAACGTCCAGCTTACGCCTAATGTACCAGCAGGAAATCACAGACACTAGAACCCCAAAGGTAAGCAGAGGTGGAGGGAGGTCAGCACTAGAGAAATATAATTGCAATGACAGGCGTGTCATGAGATTTTATTAAACCACTAAGGACAAATTATTGGGTGGGAGGGCTAAATGAAAAGAGTGGAGAATAAGAAAACACCAGGGGCATGCAGCCTAAAGAGAATTTCAGGAAAGGGAACAAATGATAATACCAAGAGGTGGTATGGAGTGAGAAACTGCCGCCTGGGAGGTTACAGGACAGTAAGGTTTTAAGGAGAGTGAGCAGTCAGAAATGAAGATACTGGGCCATCCTTAAGAAGTTTGGTCATCCAGGGAAGGAAAGAAGCTTCAAGAACAGCAGAAGCTAGAAAAGGTCCTTTTCTTTGGGCATCATTTTTGGTGCTTTTTCCTTTAAAAGGAGAGGAAGTCAACATGATTACTGGCTGTGAAAAAAAGTATGAATAAGAGAAAATATTAAAGGATGAAGCACAAAAGAGCTATCAGAATTAAGATTATAAGTGACAAATTCAGCCTTGGAGAAGAAGAGCGACAATTCTTTCTGGGACAAAAGAAGAAAGACAGAGTAAGTAGCAGTAGGGTTTTTATAGAATTTGAAATTTAATAGAATAGAAGTTGGAAGTGCTCACTCACTGCCTGATTTTCTAAGTCTGAAGTGATAACTCCAGTGCAGATACCGGGTTTAGAGTTGAGATATTGGGGAAAAGATCAGAATAGACATTGTGGAGACTAGTATACAATAACAAATAGAAATTTTTTTTTAATTCCAATAAGTTCCTAAGAATGCAGGAAGGCAAACCTCAACTGTAAACTTCCTTTAGGGTTAAATAGAAAAAAATAAATGCTAAGAGAAGTAACTCGGTTAAAGACACAGATATTCAAATTCATAGGAAACAAAAATAAAAAAACAAAATAGGCAAAAGGCAGGCATTCAGTCAAATGCACTTTAGACATTTTAGATTTTTTTTTTATCATAGGCAAGTATTGCTTATTCAGAAATATGTGGGCACTTTTAATTTTAAAACGACCTGGTTTTAAAAGCACTTGAAAGTTGAGGTCCCACAGGAGCAGAAGATCCCTGCCCAGTTTTATTCACCTGTAGAGTAAGTACCTGGCTTACAGTAGGTACTCCACATTGTTCAATGTTGGCTGACATTTTATACAGTTCCAATAAAAGCTAAATAAACAGAAAGAGCAAACACTAGCACTGGAAGATGACAGAGGTCTACAATAAGCTCAATAGTGGCTCCTTCAAAAAAGATGTCCACACCCAAATCCCCAGAACCTGTGAATGTGAATTCATTTGGAAAAAGAGCCTTTGCTGATGTAACAAAGTTAAAGATCTTGAGATAAACTCATTCTGGATTACCCAGGTAGGACCTAAATCCAAGGATAAGTGTCCTTTCAGAAGAAAGAAGAGAAGAGCACACAGACAGACGGAGGAGGCGGCCACGTCACAGCCAAGGCAGAGACAAGAACCGCGTGGCCAGAAGCCAAGGGAACGCCTGGAGCCACCAGAAGCTGGACGAGGCAAAGAAAAGAATCTTCCTGAGAGCCTTCTGAGGGAGCATAGCCCTGACACTGCCTTGATTCCAGACCTCTAGCTGCCTAGAAGTTGATAGATGACTTTCTAGTATCTGAAAGCCCTGAGCTTATGGTCATTTGTTATGGTAGCCCAAGGAAGCTAATACAGCCATATAATTTATGATACCACATTAAATGGTCTAATTTCCCCTATAAAACAAAAGAATTCAAAAAGAATTTCAAACCAGATAATGGAAAAGCCATCTGTGCAAAAGTGATTAAAGCTGAAGTTTCTATTTAGATAAATAAAGCAGAGAGATAGGAAGGTCACTACATAACAGGAAAATATAGAATAAATAATAACAACATAACAATAAACAAAGCAATATAACAAATACTGTATTTATAGAAAATAAAAAGAAATATATAATTGCAAGAGAAGACTAATTAGAATAGTAAGAAAAATATTACAAAGTTAAGAAATCCAGTAACAAAACATAAAAGTAGCATCAGTATGATGAAGTATTTCAAACATGCAAAAAAGATAGAGAATAATAAATAAATATCCATTCACCTAAATACCCAGTCTTAATAAATCTTGACATTTGGCCAAATTTACTTCAAGTTTTTTTTAAAGGGACAAAATATTTCAGGTACAGTTGAAGTCTCTATATACCTCCTGCCTGACCCCTTCCTCCTCCCTCCAACCTCAAAGGTAATCACTGTTCTAAAACTAAGTGTACCATTCTCATGTACCTATTTTAGACATAAATAACACATAGTGTTATTGGGTAGATTTAGGCTTTACATACACAGCAACTGGCTATATATTTACTATTTTTTTAATTCACGTATTTTTTTAGACTTATTTATGTTGAGGCATGCAAGTCCAGTTCATGCACTTTAACAGCTAACAACTGTATTGTTAATCTCCCGTTAATGATCATTTAGGTTGTTCTTTAACTTTTGCTACAATGAACTTTCTTGAACATGTCTCCTCATACATATATTAGTTTCTCTAGAGTTTCTCCTAAAAAAAACAATTGCTCAGTGCCATTCTTTTTCAAAACTCTTTACCTTAAGTGAATAACCTTCATTACAGTATGAAAGTATTCTCACAGTAACAGAAGAATCTGACTGGAGATAATCTTAAGATACTTTCTGTGAAAAAAGACTAAATTCTGTATTATATTCTATTTAAAGTCATCTTAGAATACCTAGTTAGCAAAAATATTAGACAAAGCAAAGCAAAAACAATACCTCTCATTAATGAGAATTTACCTGTGCGATATTTTGAGAAGACATAATTGCCTGATAATAGAATGAACGGCCAAAGTGATCTCGATCTGGAAATGCCTCTGCTTGTAGAGGTAAGTATGCCCCTCCAGAATCAACTGAAGACAAGGGAAATGACAGAAATAAGGACATATCTATAAACACAATACGCTGCACACAGGAAAATTCCTGTCAATAACAGCATCGAATCTTAACCACGTTCACAAAAATCTTGCCTTATCTTTCTTTCTAAATAGTTCTGCAGCATCTTTCTCCAATCCCCCAATTCAAAAGGATTCACTGTTTTCTTCAAATCCATTAGGCTTTCCAACTTCTGTGCAAAATTCCACTTGAAACGTTTAGGACATTCTCTCCTCTGAGGACTGGCTAAAGCCCAAGAAACACCATAAATTCTTAACCAGTTCAGCTAAAAAAGAATCTTTCCTCTTTTAAACCAACACAAAAACCATCTATGAATTCATGTGACAATTTATCACATACTGCCTTCTGGTACTGCTCTTACTATAGATCAGGGTGGTGGATGAGAATGTCTGAGTTCAAAACTGAGCTTGGTTATTTCAAAGCTGTGTGATTACAAGTATATTTCCTAGTCATTCTATGTCTCATTTTTCTCATTTGTCAAATGACTGGAACATTACCTATCCCATAGAGTTGTTACTAGATGCCATGAAATAATGTGTGTAGCTTAGTTTAGCACATATAGTTGGCAAGTCCTTTACCTATGACTCTGCCTACAACCATTAAGCCTTTTACTTCTATTTAATACATTATGTCCTGTCCTAATTCATTATCAACTTGCCAAAGACAGGGACAAAATAATACTCTTCACTGCATCCCCTACAGTGGATTATGAAGGGCAGAGCACCTGCAAGCAGCAGGGCCTCATTTACTCTCTTCTATACATACAAAGCAGTTCACACTGTGAGCCAACCAGGTAAATTCACTTTTTAAGGAAAAAAAAAATCTCTGCATCAGCACCTGTTCATATACCTGTATAAATAAACAACATATGCTGGCTTTTTGTCAAAATAAGCCAATATTCAGGAAGTGCAGATTTTAAACTACCTTGCTTTTTCATTTTCTTCCTGAAATATCCTGAGGTTTAAATTATTTTAATTTCAATCTAAATTCTTTAAATTACATTTGCTCAAATTATATACATACGCAAGCATCTAACAAAATGCCAGGCACTGAAGAGATCCATAAATACTATTATTTTTTCATAGTGTGAACAACTATGGTTAACAGGAAAACAAAATATATAGAAGAAAAAAACCACATATGCATAAAGAAAAAACTGGCCTACACCAAAATACTGCCAGGGGTTATTCCTCAGGGATGCTGTTATGAGTAGCTCGTTTGCTTCTTCTCCCAGAGTTTTCAATAAAGAATATGAATTTCTTTTGTAATTATAGTAAGTTTTTTTAAAAAAAGAAGATAATGCCCATATACACTCTTCTCAACAGTCCTATACTTGACTAGCTAATAATAGTTGGTTTTACAGTTCTTGTGACTTGCCCAAGTAGATGCAGGGAAGCCTGTTTTGCAGTGCGATTTCTTGTGCCCGTAAATGTTTTTTCACAGTTACTGGGTAGTAAGTACCTCCTTTGACAGTGGCATCATTGGCAATAATCATGCATTCTACTCTGAAAGACAGAATTTCATTAGAAAGAGAATGTGAGGGACTTCTTAGAAGTTAAAAGCCAATTACTTCTCATTACAGGACACTCCCAGTGCAGCCTTCAACTTCTAGTCACTATCACCAATGTCAGTTAGACAATCTTAGGATATAAATGCATGCGGTCATCATGATTCACATTTCATTTCTATAATACAAAATGACGACTTAACAAGTTTACAAGCTTATATCAGATTTTCAAAGAGTCATCAGTCCTGTATTAGTAGTGAAAAACTAACAGCCTAAGCCACATTTCATAATGACTCATTGAATGAAAGGGTCCAAACATAATCACAATGCAAAAAAAAAAAAACCCCAAGTCCCAACAGTGAGGAAATCTTTCAGATTTAACCTCCAAGTTTTACTTGACCTTAACTGCGGAATGGTGACAATGGGACTAACACCCGTTCTCATAGAGCCGTGGTAATGATTGAGACAACTAAGTGGTGAGAAGCAGTTAATATACAGGGCCTGGCATGGTAACTCTGGGGTAAATGTCACAGCATACAGAAACACATAAAATAAATTTAACATCTAGCAATCTAGATCCCCTAGGATGACAGTGGTCCTCAAATGTTAGCATTCAAGAACCCACAGGGCTTGATAAAACACTGATTGCAGGGTCCCATCCCAGAATTTGATTTAGTACTTCCTGAGAGGACCTGATCACCTGCATCTTTAACAAGTTATCAGGTAATGCTGACACTTCCTGGGACCTCACCTGGAGAACTACTCTAAAATAGTGGAGCTCACCTGCAGAGCCTTAGAAAGCCATAGAAGCCAAGCCCCGCCTAGAGATTCTGATCAGGTAGGCAGGTCTGTACCAGATCCCCAGGATCTTTTGTTCCCCCATCAATTTTTGTCTCTAAAGCTCCACAGATAAATCTAATACATGTCTAGGTAGGAAGCCTCAGGGCTAAGTAATATATGTCATGCATATGTTCACATGCAAAGCAGTGAGTGTGGGATGCCCAGGCCTGGTCAGTCTTCCTGACCCTCGTCATTGGGTGTAAGCAGAATACTCACCCTGACACTCTCCCAATTCCTGTGATAATGCCACCTGCAGGGACCTCCTCATTGCCATAGAGCTGGTAACCTGCAAACTGGGATAATTCCAGAAACGGAGTCCTAGAGGGAAGAAAGAATGTTGCTTGCATTACTGTCATTTTAAAAAGCATAATTTAAGCAGCTACACATGAAAAAGACTTTTTTCTTTAAAGAGCCAATGGTTCAAATATGCATGTTGTACACATATAAAATATAAAAAAGGAAAAATCTGAAACAAAATCTAGTGTGAATATTTTGGGGATTTATATAGTTTAGCCATATAATAGAACACTGGGTGCTTACCTTAACAGATGCTCTATAAATATGTTTATATTAATAAAGAGAATAGCACCTAACATAGCACTTATCATGTGCCAGGCTCTCTTCTAGGAGCTTCAGAAACCTAACCCATTTATACTCCTCAGAACTACCTTCTGAGGTAGATCCAATTATGATCCCATTAATTGATGAGGATACTGAGACAAAGCTTAAGTCACTTGTCTAAGGTCAAACAACTAGGAAGTGGCAGAGCTGGGTTTTAATAAGCAATCTGACCCCAGGGACCAGGCTGGCTCTGAACCACTGCATTATTTTACCTCTCACTTATTTAAATGTTCAAGATGCAGTCACTGAGGAAAAAAAAAGAGAGGGTATAAAACACATTTAGTATGATTTCATTTTTCTTTTCAAAAAATATGTCTAATACACATATGCATTAAAAACAGTCTAGAAGGATACATTCTAGGTGTTATCAGTATTTGTCTCCAGGTTGGGTGTATGTACATGTCATAAAAAATACTTTTAGAGTCACCTTCGTTTCCTTCTGCCCACCCACCTTCCCCATTCAACCCTTCAGGAAATCCTTCTGGTTTAGCGCTGTCCCGCCAGCACACCTAGAAACAACGTATGCGTCATTTCCACTACCGCCACCACTCCCCAAGTCCATGCCACCACCATGGCCTTTTTGCATCACTGCAAGAGTCCTCAAACTGGTCTCGGAAATTCCACCCCGATGCCCATAGTCTACTCAACGCAGCAGCCAGAATTACTCTTTCAAACACAAGTCAGACAGATCATAATAGTCTCCTGTTCAAAACCCCACAAAGGCTCCCCATCTGTCTCAGAGTGAAAGCCAAAACTATTAAACTGGCCTACAGGGTCTTCTGGAATTTGAACCCCTCTTCTCCTACTCTCCCTTCACACCCTGCACCCCAAGCACACGGGCCCCCTGACTCCCTGAGCATGTCAGCATATCCAGCACGTTCCCACCTGAGGGGATGCACTGGCCGCTCCCACTGCCTGCAACACCCCTTGCCCATACATTCACAGGCCTCGCTCCCATCACTGTCTCAGTGAGGTCTATCCTGACTGCCTCATTTCAACTGCCACTTGACCCTCATTCTTTTCCCCCTTACTCTGGTCCACCTTTTCCTTTTCCCAGGACTTTTATCACCTTCTAACATACTACACAGTTTGCAACCTTTATCATTTATTTTCTGTCTCCTTCTGCTCCAGTGTAAACTCCAGGTGGGCAAGGATCTTTGTCCGTCTTGCTCACTGATGGATCACTAGTGCCCAGAAGAGTGCCGGACACACAGCAGCCTCTTAGTAAGCATTTGTCATTGACTCTTACCGTAAGAACCAGAATTTTAAAATCATTTATTTACAAAACTGTCTAAGAAAGTTCTATGGAATAGAGAACACTCTGAGTTAGCATTTGTACCAACCCTGGGTCTAGAAGACCATCTACTCTTTCTCTGGGTAACAATTTTCCTCTTGATATGTGACGTTTTCGGGCTTTCTCACCACCTCCTAGGATAAAAACATGATTAGATCAGATTGACATGATAGAAAGTCTCCATTAAATTTAATGCTAGGAAAACATTAACAGTCCAGAATAAAGTGCCCTTGAAGGTTCAACATATCCTGCGAAAAACAGCTAATTTTTTACATCATTTACTCAACTTATAAGGTACCAATATCCTGAAGTAAATAAACTTTTTTTTTAAATCAGTATCCCTGATTACACAGCATATCATACATTTTCTGATTTTACCATCATTACTTAAAGAAATAACAGTATTTTCTCTGCAACTCAGTTTTTTTTTTGGAGATTAGCATGTGCTGCCTTATCTCCACCATATTCACTACCTACCTACTACAAATACCTAGCACTGTTACAGGCCATGTGAAATTTGAAAAGTCCCTACCTTCCTTTGTACCAAGTAAGAAGCACTATTTTAGAAATCACTTCCATCATAAGCTCAAATTTGCCTAAAGATGTCATTGGTGACTCAACGTTTTAGGCTGTCTCCAAATGGTAGAGTTGCACATCTTATGCAGCAATTAAAAAGTCTCCTTTTCTTAGTATCTTACCTCACAGATTGTCTTCAGTGTTTCTTGATATTGTTCCAAACAAAGAAAATTAAAATATTTGAAGCACCTAATAAGGTGATCCAGTGAGGCCACTCGACAGACAGGCACACCAGGCCTCACCCGGTCCGCCAGCTGCCAGCTCAGTATCTTGGGAGTAACTACAACTAAATCTCAGCAAGCCAAGATATGAGATTAAGAACAGAAGGATCAAACTGTTCCTTAATATGTTTATTTTCACTGTTGCACAAGATTTTCATCTTAATGTACTCTTTATCTAATGAAATTTATTTAAGAAAGCTTTTAATTTGTTTTTTAGGTGAAGAAATAAATTCATCTCTCCTTCAAACAAGCTTCCAAGTATAACTTTATTTTTCAACCTAGTATTCTTTCCTTTATCTAAGAGGATTTTTTATTTTTCTGGCATGTTTTTTACATCAAATCTGCCTTGAGGTTACCAAGAAAATTACATCACATATTTAATCCTTCAAATGAAAATACTTCTAGGAGGCAAAAATTTCGTTAAAAAATAGTACAATCAAGTCAAATCACTTTTCTCTTCTCTCTCCTGAGGTGGGTTCACAGGTGGGAGGGGGAGGAGTCACAAAGGGGCAAAGTAAGCTTGGGGTGACAAGCTCACTGTCTTCACTGTGGTGATGGCTTCCTGGGTACATACATACATCAAAACTCAAATTGTACACTTTAAGTAATGCGTTTTATGAAAATTATACCTTAATAAATTTGTTTTAAAAATGTTAAAATAAATGCCTAAAACTTATGCAAAAAATTAAAGAAGACACCAATAAATGGAAATCTATCCCATTCACAAGGACAGAAAGAATTAATATTGTCAAAATGGCCATCCTGCCCAAAGCAATTTACAGATTCAATACAATCCCTATCAAAATCAACAGAATTCTTCAACAAACTAGAACAAATAGTTCTACAATTCATATGGAACCACAAAAGACCCTGAATAGCCAAAGCAATCCTGAGAAGAAAGAATAAAGCTGGGGGGATTACTTATGCTCCGAAACTTCAAGCTCTACTACAAAGCCATAGTAATCAAAACAGCCCAGTTATAAACCCAAACATATATATCCAATTAATATACAGTAAAGGAGCCATGGATATACAATGGGAAAATGATAGCCTCTTAAACAACTGGTGCTGGGAAAACCGGACAGTTACATGTAAGAGAATGAAACTGGATTACTGTCTAACTCCATACACAAAAGTAAACTCAAAATGAATCAAAGATATGAATATATCATGAAACCATAAAACTCTTAGAAGAAAGCATAGGCAAAAATCTCTTGAATACAAACATGAGCAACTTTTTCCTGAACACATCTCCTCAGGAAGAGAAACAGAATTAAAAATGAGTAAGTGGACTACAAACTAAAAAAATTCTGTACAGCACAGGACACCATCAGAACAAAAAGGCATCCTACAATATGGGATAATATATTTGTAAATTATTTATCTGATGAAGGGTTAAAATCCAAAATATACAAAGAACTCACACACTTGAACATCCAAAAAAAAATAACCCAACTAAAAAGTGGGTCAACAGGCACATGAAGAAATGCCCCTCATTACTAATCATCAAGGAAATGCAAATTAAAACCACAATGAGATATTACCTCACACCAGTTAGAATGGCCACTATCAAAAAGACAAGAAACAACAAATGCTGGCGAGGATGTGGAGAAAAGAGAACCCTCCTACACTGCTGGTGGGAATGTAAATTTGTTAAACCATTGTGGAAAGCAGTATGGAGGTTCCTCAAAAAACTAAAAATAGAAATACCATTTGGACCAGTAATTCCACTCCTAGGAATTTACCCAAAGAAAACAAGATCCCTGATTCGAAAAGACATATGTACCCCGATGTTTATCGCTGCACTCTTTACAATAGCCAAGATACGGAAGCAACCTAAGTGTACATCAATAGATGGATGGATAAAGAAGATGTGGTACATATACACAATGGATGATAATTCAGCCATGAAAACAGAAGAAATCCTACCATTTGCAACAACATGGATGGAGCTAGAGGGTATTATGCTCAGTGAAAGAAGCCAGGCAGAGAAAGACAAGTATCAAATTATTTCACTCATTTGTGGAGTATAACAACAAAGCAAAACTGAAGGAACAACATAGCAGCAGACTCACAGACTCTAAGAAGGGACTAATGGTTACCAAAGGGAAGGGGTTGGGGAGAATGGGTGGGGAGGGAGAAGGGGATTAAGGGGCAGTATAATTAGCACTCACAATATAAGTAGGTCATGGGGAAGGCAGTACAGTACGGAGAAGACAAGTATTGACTCTACAGCATCTTATTACGCTGTAGACAGTAACTGCAACAGGTGGGGTGAGGACTTGATAATACGGATGAATGTTGAAACCAGAGTGTTGTTTATGTGAAACCATCATAAAATAAAAATTTTTTAAATAAAAAATAAACATTTAAGGCTAGGCCTATGAGAATCTTTGGAGAGTCAGGGTACACAAGTGCCCTCTAAGAGACTAGTAAAGGAAGGGATGGCAGGGGAGGTAGGATGGCAAAGAGATGATAAATATATATTTTTAAAAATTTAACATTATTCTTGCTTAATGCTGCTTGAGTTTGAGTTTGCAATTAGGAGCAGCTAGTAAATTCTGGTTTTATTAAGAAAAACCAGAGAGAGAGCTATCCTTGATGCAGATCTCAGATCACAGAATTAAATTCATCTGACATTTAAGCTGGCCTAGGGTAAAATGGATCACCACAAAAAGACAGCATGACACAGCACCCTAGTTTTCCAAGCATTATTCTTAAAGATGTTGCATTAATCACCTATATTCCAGCAGATTCAGAGCCAAGAAAGCCTGTTTCCCTCAATCTCATTCACCATATTGCATCGTTTCTAAGACACACATTTTGTTCACATTTTAGCATCCCGAAATTGGGAAGCATTTTACAATGTATAGCATTTCTCAATCGCTGTCACCAGGGGGCAGTCAAGACACAGCTGTCTGCATGTGCAGGCACAGCACAAACGTCTGTCACTTCAATTGTGCTACACACATGGTTGGAACTCCATGCATGGAGTTTAATTTCCATTTTAAAATGTCTTCAAAAACTACACAAGCCTTATCTTTAGGTCACTCAAAGACCCATTTCAACCACCAGAACTATTTTTGCTTCTTTGTAACAATAAAGTTATTACCCAGCTTTATAAAAACTAAGCACTTTTGAATTTATCAAAGCAGTTATGATGCTGGGGTTCTTGTTTGCAGAGTTAAAGAATGAACTTCGTGAATGAGCAAGGTAGGAAATTTACAGAGAAAGTTTTATTCAGGATAAGATACAGTACGGAATTACCAACAGGTGCAGAGGGGCGCAAGGCTGCCATTTGGGACCTCGGTGTCTAGGTTTTATGTCTGTTGCAGTAGGAGCTGTTAGTTTCCTATAGATTCAGCCAGAATGCTAGTTATGTTTTAACCTACCTCAGTAAAGGTTACCCGGTTACCCAGTTACGCTATTGCTAATGGACCTACCTGACTATGATCAGCAAGCTGTTCCCTCACTGGGTCCCATGGGGAGTACAGTATTACATTGCTTCAACCTCAAGCACCCTGTTATTCCTTCACATCCCTGAATCCTCAGTGAGTCACTTTCCAGCGCTTCACATAACTTGTGTTGATCAAAGTACAGTTGACCCACAAACAATGCCACAGTCAGGAGCACCGATCCCCTCACGGTCAAAAATCTGCGTATAGTTTCTGACTCCCCAAAACTTAATAGCCTACTTGATAACAGAAGCCTTACTGATAGCATAAACAATTAACACATATTTTGTATGTCACATGTATTTATACTGTATTCTTACAATAAAGTAAGCTAGAGAAAAGAAAATGGTTTCTCAAATTGTTTCAAATATGCAAAACATTTTCCAATGCATTTATTTATTGAAAAACACTCCATGCAAAAGGTGACCTGTGCAGTTCAGACCTGTGCTGTTCTGAGGTCAACTGTGCTTAGTTCTGGCTACTGGGAATCACACGGCAGGGGCAAGGCTCTTTCCACCCAGAGAACTGACGAAGCTGCTCCTCAGGTAAGCCTACATGTTCAAAACGGGAACAAATGGGGAGACTAAGGTGGTGCCCTGAGAAGAAACCTGAGACAAAGGCAGAAGGGAGACAGTAAGAAAGGGACAGACAAAAAGGACAGCAGAGTCCACTGATTCTTATCAACTTTTTATTTACAAGTTCTCTCAAATGAAAACCTCAAAGGTTAATAATGCCTGAAGCAACTTGAAACACTCCTCCCTTGAAAATGAGGCCCACTCCTATTTAAAATTAGGAAATTTATGAATTAAAAAGTCAGGATGTCTAAATTCTACAATGGCAGGAAGAAAAAAGAAAAGCAGAAAGTGAGTAACATTCCCAGCTCTTGATCAATACAATTGCTAGGCTAGCCTATGGCGTCAACATAGCAAAATCACAGAATATATATATATATCCAGAGCAAGGCACACAAAAATCCCCAAGACAAAAAATCCCCAGGTCACATATTGTTGTTAAAGGTACTGACACTAACCAGAATTGCATCAGAAATGTATGGTTGGAGGGATTATTGATAGGTGACTTTTTCTTTTCTTCTTTATCCTTTTCTCTGTTTACCAAAATTAAAATCACTGAAAATGTATATTACTTTAAAATTACGTGTTTGTGTAAGATCCATTTTCACGGCATAACAGGGCCAATTTCAGACAAAACCATGAAGTCCAAGTTTGTCACTCCTCCCCCAGCTCTCCCGCTTCTGGCTCAAGGAGCCCAGCACAGTCCTCTCTCCTCCTTGAGCAGCCAGCCTTCACCCTCAGTTCCATGATCCTCAGCAGGGGCTTGGCGCTAGAGGGAACTTTACCTCCTCTTACTCAAACCCGCTCATCTGAATGTCCAAAGGGAATAGTCAATTCTGCAAAGCAAATTAATGCATCACACTCCCCAGCAAAACAGATTTTCATTTCAGCAAGGGTTGTGGCTCTTTTGTGGAAGATATCTTACTCCAAAACACCTTCAAGGGCTTGGTTCCAGTCCTCGTTCTGAGAGGCCTAGCGGCAGCATATTTACCCCTCAAATCATACCCAAGAGAGACAAAACTCACCATTTTTTTAAGCACCATCTCCCCACACTAGAACAGGGGTTCAAGAGCTGCCTGGTTAAAAAGAATGACCAATGTCCACTAACCCTGTTTTTATAAGTAACCCTCCTACATACATACCCTAGCTGGAGAGGGGAAATTAGTGTGGTCAGAGGCCAGTATAAGTGCCACTCACTGCTTCTGTTTGCTTTTCCCTCCCCCTTTTCCTGAAAACAGTGCTGCCAACTCCATGAAGTTCCAGGAGCTATCATATTAGATACTAATATATTAGTATCTAATCTAGAAGGAGCAATATGCTGTTTACAGCCTTCATTTAAAAATGCCTGGGATGAGAATGGGTCCAGGCTGTCACAGTCAAATTCCACAGCCCCTAGACACAGTAACTGAGCCAAGGAATGAACATGGGACCAAAGGAACCCATTAGAATTTTCCAAATTGTATATGCCAGGACAACCAGCTCTTTCCTTCAGAATGTAAACTCTAAGGATACAATTCCTGGCCTGCTGGCGAGTGACTTCCCCACCTCATGAAGAAGCCTGATGAAAATGAGGTCCACACACATACACATATCCTGAAAGGAGAGCTGATGGGCAGGCAGACTGAGTCCCCTACAAGTGATGGGGATCCTGGGTCCACTCAACACTGCCTTTCTATGGTTTGGTTACAGGAACCGAATGCTGCTTTCTGGATTAAACAACATTGATTTGAATTTCTGATACCAAAGAGACTGAATAAAGCCATTCTCAAAATAATATTCTTAATACATTGTTAGTATCTCATCTAGAAGGAGCAATATGCTGTTTACAGCCTTCATTTAAAAAAAAAATTCTCCCCAGAAACCTCACAGATAGAATGGGAGCAGTTATTGCCATCTGAATGAGGTCTCTGCTTCAACTGGTCCCAGACAGAGTTTCCTATCTGTTTGTTCATGTCATGGTAACATTTTAGAGAATTTGACTGATTTTGACCCCAAACTGCCATATTAAAAAGAGACCATGACATTTCAAATGGATTTCATTTTCTGTTCTTTTTAATTAATTTTGATTAATCTATTAAAACAAAAGAAGATACATATGTGTGCTTGGAATGAATAATGCCTGTAATTCACAGACCCACTCCTAAGTCTCAAGTTATAAATGAAGTACTGAAAATTTACAAGAGAGATTAAATAATTGGACCAATGCTACTTAATTATTACAACAAGCAGGTCTAGCTCTTCACTCTCAAAATTCTACAAAGGACCAAAATACTGAGGTTATTTCTTCCCTAATACACTACACAAATGAACAGAGAACTTCTGATGGTTTCTCTATTAATTTGCTGTTGACCAATCACCTTGGTTCCATCCTTAATGTAAGAGAAACAAAATACTATAAATAACATTTTTATTTAAACTAAAAAGAAACCCATCAAGTTTTCTCTGATGACTTCTACTGGGAGTCTAACCTATGAATGTGGTAAGAACGTATCTAAGAATGCAGCAATACTCTTAAATCACGGATTTATAGAGAAAATAAATTCTATCTATGAGGATATTGGAGAGAATTCTTTTTAAATGAAGACTATAAAATTCATATAGCACCTCCTAAATTAGGTACTTAGAATACATTAAGAATCTTATTTTGGAAACAGCCTTCAGTTTCAAGTCACATGGTCTTCTAGAGTAAACTGTCATATACACCAATAATACCAGAACACAATGTGGTATTTGTTTATATTTTATACTCATCCCTGTGATGCAATTTTTTCCAAGCCAAAAAAAAAAGTCTATTATGTCCAAAATTTAAAAATGTAACACAGCAGAACATGCATAATCATGCAAAGTTTAGGATTAGTATGAATACGGTTAATGAACAGAAAATTTCAGTGTGATGCTGTGGCTAAAACAAAAACTTAAAAGACAATAGTTAAAGAATCAATGAATTTCAATTTCTACTTATCCCCAAATAGCAGCAGTGCTGTTTGAACAGAAAAGCTGGCCAAGTCATCGGAGGCGGGGAATGTCTACATACCAACAAATGCACAGTCTTGAAGACTTAGAAGCTTAATGTTACTACTTCTTCCTAAACCAGTAACTATAAAGGGGTATCTTAATTAAAAGCATAATTTAGAGAATAAATGAGTTTTTACCTAGTTTTATGTACTGTGCTCGTTCATGGAGTTGACTTACTAGTGCCTTCATCTGTTCATAGTTTTCCTAAAACAGAAACAGAGGGAGAGTAGTATTAGAAGGCAATCATCATTTTTTACCAAAATAAAGGTTAAATCGAACATCACGTGCCAACCCCACATGGCCTCCACACCAGGCCACCCCTCAGCCACAAGGTCTCCGTGCTGGGCCACTCTGTCAGATGGAAAAGCTCCATTCCTGTCTCTATTTTTGTTCAAACTCTTCTTCACTCCCACCACCCCTCCCTGGTCCATCTATCCAAATCTCACTCCTCTTTTAAAGTCTAATTCATGGTCTGTCTCATCTCCAACATCACTTCTGGCTACTCTGGCTCATTTTAACATCAAGTTCCAATGAACTCATTCCTTCCTAGCACATCTTTCTGTAACCATCTTTCAACCTTTAGACACCACTTAGCACAATGCACCATAGTTACCTGCTTGCTTGCCCATCTACCCCACAAAATTATGATTGCACTCCTACACATCTATACCAAATACCTAAAATAGTGCCTACAGAACACCTTATTTCTGAATTAAACATTCCCTCCTGCCCCCCAGGAATCCAAAGACTTTTAGAAACTTTTCATTAGATACTGTTCCTGTCTCATAGCCTGTTGATTTTCTTTGAACTTCCCTGTTCCCCTAAAGGCCTTACTCTTTAAAACGTCTTCTCTGAAAGTTACTTGCACAACTTAAATGTTATCTGCACAGGCTTAGAAACCATGGGAAAGATGGAAATTTTCCAGTTGTGATATCTCACAAGTTAAAATGCAATAGCTGAAGAATTGTCAGATTTATAGAGATAGATCCCACATATGAGGATATTGGGGAGAATTCTTTTTAAATGAAGACTATAAAATTCATATACCACCTCCTAAATTAGGTACTTGTAATATATTAAGAATCTATTTTGGAAATGGCCTTTAGTTTCAAGTCACATTGTCTTCTACAATAAACTGTCATATATACCAATAATACCAGAATACAATGTGGTATTTGTTTACATTTTATATTCCTCCCTGTGATGTAATTTTTTCCTAAGCAAAAAAAAAAAAAAAAGAAGTCTATTATGTCTATTATGTCCAAAATTTAAAAATGGAAAATAACAATAATCTACAAGGCTTTTTAGGAAATTCCATTTATTTAATTAGCAATAAACCCACATAGCTGTTTCTTTGACCTTCTGATACCTCCCAGTCCAAGAAAGGCCATTCAAAGATACCGTGGAATAGGTGTTTTCTATTAACATAACCAACTATTTAGCTAAATTCTAGCAAGCACAGCTCAAAGTTAGCTGTGCTAGGCCAATGTTCCCAAAACTGACTGCCCACCAAGCCCCTGAGAACTTCACTGACAATGCAAACACCAGGACCCCACCCCAGAAACCCAAAAAGGTGCAAGGTGGGGCATAAGGCAGCTATACAGCTCCCAAAGTGAGCGTTCAGCCAGTTTTTCAGAACCGCTTCTTTCCAAGACACAAAGTACACGGACAGTGCTAAAAGTGAACTAAAGTGTCTTTTACTTGAATTGCTTTTCAAATTTCACTACCCCCCTAGTGTGCCCCACAATCATAACTGGGGCTCCAGATAGAACAACATCAATTGTTAAAGTGTGACCCCCCTCCACCTGCTTCCTACTCCGGCCAGCGTCCAGTCCTGTCGGTCCCGCAGGTGGAAGGGGAAATTAGAGACTCGGGCCGGGTCCTCCAGGCCCGCGGAGGCGCTCACCCAGCCTACCTGATACACGGCAGAGCCCAACTCCGGCTGGGTGCCCAGCGTGGCCACCGAGTCCCAGTGATAGGCGCGCAGCTCCGGGGCAGCGGCTTGGGCGCACGGCCGCAGGGCTAACCTCAGGGCGGCCCACATGGCAGCAGGCAGAGAGCGAAGAGCACGAAGAAGCCCGCGCGGGCTCCCAGCGGCCGGCCTCCGTTCCGCGTCCCCAGGCTCGGGCTACGGCTCAGCTGGCACCCTCACCGCACCAGCTACCCTGAAACCTCCCAGATTCTCAGGCCAGCGCCGGCACGTGCCTGCACACACCACCCGTGATTGGTCAGCGCTGCTCGCCACGCCTTCCTAACTCAGCCAATAAGGAATAGAGGTGCAGCCCCGCGAGGCCCTGTCCCATCGCGAGCCCAGGAGCTCGGTGGCTCCCGGGGAGGAGCGACCGCTCTCTGGGGCGTTGCGTTAAACTGGTTGAATTTTTTGGAATGGGTCTGTTTATTTTCTACGTGCTATTTTTTTCTTCCCCTGCTAATAGAAAGGGTATTCCAGGATTTGAGTAAGTTCGTCTTTATATGACAGCTGGAAACTGAGCGGGCATTAAGCTGCTTTAAAAAATAAACGCCTTAGAGGAAATACGTATTTATCCATTCATTCAACAAGTATTTCTTCAGTGTATTCTGTGTCAGGAAGGTACTTTTTGGCGCTGGGAATTCAGTGACGAACAGGCAAAGTGCCTCCTTTTGTAAAGTAGAGAGACCACAAACAAACTAAAATTAAAATTATAACAATGGTAAATTACAGCATAGATATACAACCATACATTATGCAACTATAGGGTACTTATAAAACTGTGCCTATAACAAATCTGGGCTTCCTTCACTTACTAGACAGTGAGAAAAAAATTAACCGTGTTTAGCCCGTGTAAGTCTGATCCATTTTGAATTAATTTTTGTACATAGTGTTTGATTAAAGGTCCAACTTCATTCTTTTGTATGTGGATATCCAGTTTTCCCAGCACCATTTGTTAAAAGACTGTCTTTTCCCAGTGAATAGTCTTGGCATCCTTGTCAAAAAGTATTTCACCATACATGCAGCAGTTTGTTTCTGGGCTTTCTATTCTATTCCATTGGTCTATTTGTCTGTGTGCCAGTACCATATAGTTTTGATTACTGCAGCTTTGTAGAAATTTTTGAAATCAGTAAGAGTCTTGCAGCTTTGTTCTTCACTTTTCCTTTTTTGGCTTTCAGAGTCCTGTGAGATTCCTTATTAATTTTAGGATGGATTTTTCTTTCTGCAAAAAAAATGTCATCAAGATTTTTATAGGGATTGCATTGAATCTGTTGATTACATTAGGTAATATTGACAACCTAAGTCTTACAGTCCATGAAAATGGAATGTGTTGTGATGTACTATGCTTCTTTCATTTCTTTCAGCAATGTTTTGTAGTTTTCATTGCGTAAGCCTTTCACCTCCTTGGTTAATTCTTACGTTATTCTTTTTGGTGCTACTGTAAATGGAATTATTTTTATAATTTCCTTTTCAAATGCAACTGGTTTTTGTGTGTTGGCTTTCTCAGGGTGCTACTTTGCCAAATTCATTCATTAGTTTTAACAGGTGTGTGTGTGTGTGGTCTTTAGAGTTTCTACACATATCATCTGTGAACAGACACAATTTTCCTGTTTCCTTTACAGTTTGGATGCCTTTTATTTCCCATTTTTGCCTAATTGCTCTGCCTTGGACTCTTAGGACTATGTTGCATAGGTGTGGCAAAAGTGGACATTTTTGCCTTGTTCCTGATCTAAGAGAAAAACCTTTCAGTTTTTCATCATTGAGTATGAAGTAGCTTTTATGATTATTCTTTATCCTTGTTTTTTGTTATGAAAAAATGAATTTTTCTGCATCAATTGACATGATTTGTTGTTTTTCTTCTTCATTCTGTTAATGTGCTATATTACATTGATCAATTTTGTTATGTTGAACCATCCTTGTATTCCAGGGATAAACCACACTTCATCATGGTGTATAATCCTTTTAATATGCTGCAGAATTCAGTTTGCCAGTATTTTATTGAGGATTTTTGCATTAATGTTCATAAGGGATTTTAAACTGTAGTGTTTTCTTGTAGGGTTTTTGTCTGCCTTTGGTATCAGCATAATGCTGACCTCCTAGAATGAGGTAGGAAGTGTTCCCTTCTTTTCAATTTTTTGGAGGTGTTTGAGATGAATTGTATCAGTTCTTTAAGAGTTTGATGGAATTCATCTGTGAAGCCATAAAGTCCAGTGGTTTTCTTGTTGGGAGATTTTTTGATTACTGATTCAATCTTGTTACTAGTTATAGATCTATTCAGGTTTCTATTTCTTCATTATGTAGTCTCAGTGGGTTTTGTCTCCTTAAAATTTTTCCATTCCATCTAGGTAATCCAGTATTTGGGTGTACAATTGTTCATTGTATTCAGATATACCTTTTACTTTTAATTTTTCTTTACAAATTTTAATTTTTTAGGGAATTCAGTATTTCAACTTTTATGATGGAAATAAAGATGTTTTTACCTCCTTCTCCCAAAAATGATCCTGAAGTAACAAAGGAACACACACACACACACAAAATTATATCCCACCTTCAATTAAGTGAAGAAATATATGAAGACAGTATACAAAAATATGAATTCACTGAGCAGAATGAAGGAAATTAAATCTTACCCCTAGCAGTAGAAGACACAAACAAGTAACAAGGTAATTTGTCTCCCAGAAATCCCTGTACGGCTCAGGAATCATGATACCAGATCCACACAGAGAAAGTTATGAACAGGGGGTGGAGAGAGGCAGTGAAGACCAAGAAACAATGGAACTACTTAAACATCTGTAAGAAGTAGTTAGAACCCCAGGCTCCATTCCCACTTTGCCCAAAAGATAGAAGTTATATGTTCTCTGGAAAACTGAATCTGAGATATTCCAAATTTAGTCACTAGGCAGGAGTGAAGTGCCAGATTGAAACCAGAGAGATTAAGTGAAAATCTGAAATCAAAAGAGCTTCTGGCCCCAATTTCCTTTTCCCACCCAGTTCTAAAATGCTGGCTACCAGCATTTATACATATACATACATACATACGTATACACACATACATATACATGTACATATATACATGTGTGTGTGTGTGTGTATATATATATATATATATGAAGGGCCCTAGTGAAACCTTACCATTTCACAGAAAAGATCTACAGAGTAACAAGTTTAGCAATGAAGAAGCCCTCTAGAAAATAATTACAATTAACCTACAAATTGACATGTCCTACAACACGCCAATAAGATTGTAAAAGCTCCCAATAAGCTTTTTAGAAATTTCTCTAACGTATATACATGGATAGCCAAGGATCAACAGGCATTTGGAGAAAGCTTTTAACATGAAAAAAAGACACCCACAACCAAGAAAACAAAACCAAAAGCACCTCAGAAGAAACCAGCAGTGCAGGGAATATAAGAAACTAATTAACATCCTTAGAGAAATGAAAAAATATTGCATCCATGAAACAAGAACAATACTATGAAAAAATAGAGAGAAAAAGCTTTTGGAAATAAAAATATGAAATAAAAAATTTTTACAGTTTGTACAAGAGAAGGAAATAGAGAAATAAAATTATAAACCTCATTTCAAATTTAAACCTTGGCTAAAAATGCAACCAAAGCTAGAGGTTGCAAGCTTTAATTAGCCATTACATGAGAAATTATTAAAAGGATGGGAAAACAGATGCTCTAAGGTGACAAGATACTCTGCTAACCATTACATTTATCAATAAAAGTGGTTATCCACTATTTCCCAGTTGGCATTAAAGTTTATAATTAATGTTATGCTTATCTAAAAATTCTACCTGTTTATACTCACCCTAAGTATCTTACATTATAATTATCTGCTAAGAACAAGAAATATTTCTATAATATTGAAAGGCTTACTGTAATAGCTCCAAGGGTTGGTTTGAAACCTTAAGACTGAGAATGTTATAAAATATACCTTTGTTAAAATCTTAATTGCAATGCAAAAACCCATTGTTTTTCTACGTTCCAGCAATAAACAATTGGAAAATAAGATTTTAAAAACACCATTTATGATGGCATTGAAGAACATCAAGTACTTACAAGTAAATCTAAACATGCCATTTCTGGATATTACACAAGAAAAAAAATCTACCAAAAACTCCGTACAAAAATATTTATAGTTAGCTTTATTCAAAATAGCCAAAATTTGTTAACCCAGTAGGAAAATGGGTAGAAAATTGTGGCATATTCATGTAATATGGTAAATTCATAAAATGGAATACAACTCAGCAACAAAAGGGAACTACTAACATGCTACAGAATGGATGAATCCCCAAGACATGTTGAGTAAAAGTAACCAGACACAAAAGAATACATTTTATATGGTTTCATACACATGAAGTTCACAACCAGGCAAAACTAATTTGTGGGTGGGAGTGAGGTTAAGGTTTAGGGGAACTTCCTGGGGTGATGGAAATCTTTTATGTTTATTTTTGGGGTGGTTACAGAATGACTTGTGCTCCAGAAAAAGGAAATCTAAACCAGGACAGAGGGATAGGGAATTCAGAGTAACGGCAGAGACATGTCCCAGGATGACAGTTATACTGCGCATGGAGACTGATGAAGCCAATAGTCTGGATTACAACAGGGTATTCTACTTTAAATCACCAAATTAAAACTCCAGAAAGTTCTCCAGGAAAAAAAAAACTATCTGACACTTTGACCATGAGGAAAATTATAAGTAGAGGCATTTTACAGACTTTCTGGAGGTTATGCAAATTTAAGCCACAGGTTTAAAAACAAAACAAAACCCAAAGCAAATGAAAAAGTGAAGCAATTATTAACTCCAAGAAAAAACAAAAATTGTGCCAGAAATCTCATCTTAGTTCACTATGTGGTACAACAGTGAATACCTACTATTAAAACAATGAAAATACATGATATGGATTAGTCCCTAATTGTGTTTAACAAATTGTGAGAAAGCAGGAGGGAAGAAGAGAGGGGGGAGTTGTAAGAAAGCTAAAATTCTTATATACCATAATAAAAAGTCAACTGGTAATGTCTGATATTCATAAGAGATAACAGAATAGTCATGTAAAAAATACATAATACCAGAAGAAACAGCTTGAAATTTTCTAGCACTAACTTGACTTTTAAAGTCATGTGTAATACTTGATTTTTAAAAACATGAAACAATGCATTTTAAGAGGTCAGTATAGTGCCGAGCAAATAAATGGCAGCTTGTTTTGAAAAAGGAACAGGTTTTTTA